CAGGGGCTGGGGGGGGGGGGTTCTTAAAACGAAGCTCGGTGCATATTGATGACATCACAGACCTTTAGGAGCTCTTTGGCTCTATGGAGATTTGTGTTGTTCAAGCTGAACAGGGCCGGGCGGGCGCATCTCGGCAACAATCTAACCGTGGACATACAGGCACGCCATGCGCCGGCACCGCCTCCTATAAGGAACTGAACAGTAAACCGAGGTATCCCCTGCACGCCATACGGCAATGGAGACCGGTGACAGTGATGGTGCTCGTAGTGATGTCCGCGTATGGCGCCGTGCAAATCCAAAGTTTGAATCCCTAGGCGATGGCCTAGTTTGCCTAGCCGGCAGCGCTGGCTCTCTGGCTCCTTAAACACTTGTGCCGTGCTTCTCTGAATAAAAGAACACTTGTAGGGTTATTCACAGAAGGGTGAAGGGTTTGGAGAAGGCCGGGAGAAGTGAACAATCTAGGACAACATCGCTGATTTGAAAAAATGTTCCAATTCAGCTCACTTTCCAGTTCAGCTATGTTGTCCTAGATCAGTGGTGGCGAACCTTGGCACTCCAGCTGTGCCAAAACTACAAATCCCAACATGCATCTGGCTCTGGGAGTTATGTCTGTGGCTGTCAGAGCCTTGCAATGCCTCATGGGACTTGTAGTTCCAAAACAGCTGGAGTGCCAAGGTTGGCCGTCCCCTGTCCTAAATTGTTCTCTTCTCCAAACTCTTCACCCTTTTGTGAATAACCCTGTTGGATTTATGTCATCCTTTGTGTGCTGGTGATATTCATTGTTCAAACCTATAAGGATCTAAACACGCTATCATGACGATCCTTCCATGCTTAGCCTGCTCAGAAACATACAGAAAAGGTTTCTTGATCAGTGGGACTTGGCAGGATCACCGAGGTATGTACCATACATAGTAAAAGGAACTAATCTATGTGACGTGAGGGGCAAAGGACAGCAGTCCCCAAGTTTTATCTTTTGGGTTAACATGCACTTTAATTTGAAACGATGGGCAAAGATAGAACAACAGGTGACATACAGGTGAAACTGGAATAATTAGAATATCGTGCAAAGTTCATTTATTTCACTAATGCAACTCAAAAGGTGAAACTAATATATGAGAGAGACTCATTACATGCAAAGCAAGATAGTTCAAGCCGTGATTTGTCATAATTGTGATGATTATGGCTTACAGCTCATGAAAACCCCAAGAACCCCAAATCCACAACCTCAAGAAAGTAGATTATTACATGCAATCAATAAAACAAGGATTGTACATAGAACAATATCGGACCTCTGAAAAGTACAAGCATGCATATGTACTCAGTACTTGGTTTGGGCCCCTTTTGCAGCACTTACTGCAATTACTTTTGCACGATATTCTAATTATTCGAGTTTCACCTGTATATGATGCAATCTTTCAGTAGCATCAACAGCAGTTTTTTTTTTTTTTCTGGTTTACCCCGTAACAATTTTAGAACCTCTCAAAGCTGCCAGTGGATCCATTACCGTGTTTCCCCGAAAATAAGACACTGTCTTATATTTTTTTTGGCTCAAAAAAACACACCGGGTCTTATTGTCGGGGGAGGTCTTATTTATAATTTTTTTATGTACAACAATCCCCACTGATTCATGTACACAAATATGGTGATCAGGGCAATCAGGGGGTGCCGTACCTTTCCAAGAGCAATTTGCTAACCAATCGCTGGCCAGAATGAGCGAAGCGCACTTTCACTATGGATTCCTCACAGGCGGAGCGCATTTGGTATGACTCCGCCTGTGACAGGAGGCGGCGCTATAGAGGAAGCATTGGCTTATGCGGCTCTGCCCCCTCCGGTGCCGCCTCGCTTCCTCTAGCGCCGGCTTCGTTGGCACCGCTGATTCTCTCCTGCATCTCCCGCGGCTCTACAAGTTCCCCCTTATGCCACCACCGGCCCCCGGGAATGGTCACAACTTGGTCTTATTTTCGGGGTAGGTCTTATATTTTAGCAATTCCCAAAAATAGTACTAGGTCTTATTTTCGGGGAAACAGGGTATGTCTCCACCCGATTAAAAAGTATTTTGGCCCTGAACATATTTACAAAAGCGCCATAGATTCCCTTTATGTTACCGAGAGGGGAGTCTGTGTCCTGCTCACCATGGTTGGATTTAGTTGGTTCCAACTGCTTTTCCGCTGTACAAAAAGCCCTCACCCGTAGGAACCGGCAAAATATGAAAAAGTGGAGTGGACCAGAAGAAGGTCAGAGTAACGAGAACCATCATAAAAAATAATGTAATATACACTGTATGGACACCTGGCCATCACACCTATATGAGCTTGTTGGACATCCCATTCCAAAACCATGGTCATTAATTTGGAGTTGCCCCCCTTTGTGTCTATAACATCCTCCAGTCTCAAGACTTTGGGGGGTGTCTGTGGGAATGTGTGCTTATTTGTGAGGTCAGGTACTGATGTTGGATGTGAAGACCTGCCCACAATCGGCGTTCCAATTCATCCCAAAGGTGTTCAGTAGGGATGAGGGGTCAGGGCTCTGTGCAAGACACTTGAGTTCCTCCACCAATCTAATCACACCGTGTCTTTATGGAGCTGGCTTTGTGCACAGGGACCAGTCATGGCGGAACAGAAAAGGGTCTTCACCAAACTGTGACCACAAGGCAGGAAGAGAACAATTGTCTACAATGTCTTTGTATGATGTAGTATTAACAGAACCTTCACTGGAAACACCTGAACTCAGTCATTGAGACGGGGTCCACATACTTTTGGTCATACAGTGTAGGTGTGATGGTCAGATGTCCACAAACACTTGACAGTAAAGTGTAACAGAGAATGGTGAATGCTTAGTTACATTACAGAGGGACTTCAGATATAAACCCAGGTCATTCCCCTTCAGTACTGAACCAATCTTACCTGCAGTCGTCTCCTCCTGCACTAACCACGTAGCGGTCACCACTGGTGAATCGGATGTTGGTCACATGGGCAGAGTGCCCCAGGAAACGCTTGTGTTTTGCCTGTAATAGAGAGGTGATGGCATGAATTCTCTCACTTTAAAGGTTGTTTAGACGAAGTCCAACTGCAGGTAATTAGGTCGGCCACAGACACGCAGATACATCACTGAGAATGATAGGCAGCAAAACATCTGTACGGTGCCCCATGATATCTAAGCGTGGCCACTGAGAACCATAGGCAGTATGATATCTGCTCATGTATGGAGGAGCTCCAGAACACATGGTGAGCTTTTCCCAAGCTCTTCCATTGGCAGCACCCGCCTGTGAGTTATTTACACCCTTTCCTCCCAAGATAAGGGAAATCCCAGCACGCAGTCACACAGATTATCAGTTTCATAATTCCCATCGAAGCCCGTAAACCACAAAACCCATACTTACGAACTTTTCCGGACAGGGGAAGTCAAATAACTTGACCATTCCCAAGTCATCGCCCGTAACCAGGCTGATCCCTGAGTGAGAGACGCAGGTACACGTCACGTCCGATTTGTCGTTGTGCCTGGACCAGATTCCCAGCACCTCGTCCCCCAGGACACTGCAAGATATGGACAGTACATCCCAGTCATGATATCATTTCATACAAAGCAGGCCTAATGAACAATTGCTCTTTTTTTTCTTGTCTATTGTGCGACATGAGAATTCAGAAACAGTTGGAACGAGACATCCGGATGGTCTCTATGGACCAAGAAGTTCCTCATGCGACTCATCAGTCTCTTACAGTGAATGGGGTGGTCTCTTCTACCTGCTCCAGGGGGACTCCACTTGCAGAGGTGTGAGTTGGCCTCCTGAACTAGACTTCGTTGGACATAGAGTGTTGTAGGACCTTCACTTCCAGAAAAGTTTGGGAGTTCTCCCTGTCACAGGACAAGTGGCCCTGTCCTTATGCTGGACAATGCTGAGAGTGCAAATGTCACTCACACTGCCTTCCATGGAGATAATGCATTCTCATCTCGCTCTACTCAACTGGTAGGTTCCACACCAAAGGGTGAGATTTGGGCACCTGAGTGCTTCTTCTCTCCTAGAAGATGGGAAAAAACATTGCTGGATGGCTCGGCAGGCTAAACACGCTGGGATCTTGCTGCAGCTACTCCTGTTAGAGTATGTACAGAGGTCTTCATGGGACCTGATCACCTGAATCTAGGCCCTCCGAAGTATGAGAGCACCATCCCATTCTCCCAACAAGACTGATGGGTCACACCATGGACTCCTTGGCCCAGAGAGACCATCTGGATGTCACACATTGACTATTTCCAAATCACTGTGTTCCTTAGTGGATTCCAAGATATAGATTTTACAATAAGTACAAACATATGTATTTTTTTTATTCTCCTGAATATATGTCTGCAGAGAAATCCAGAACAATTCACTTTACATTGACTTCAGCCTGGAAAGATGCCTCTGAGAATGAAAGGATGAGGAAACTCTTTTGGTCTTCAAAAAAGAAAAAGAAGTGTTTTCCAATAATTAAATATGACCTAGGACATAGTTTCTGACGTATTACAATGGTTGTGGATGAGTCCCCCTCAGGCTTATCTTGTGGGTGCTCCATCAGGGAGCCCCCCCAACACAGGTTCTCCTCACTTCTGCTACAATGCACCTTTTGCCACATTCTCTATAACGGGGTGGATAGAAGAAACTGATAAGAGGCTGAAGGGTTACACCACCCAACACTTCAATCTCAGTTTTGGGTGCGCTGCCCCTTTTTAAGGTATTTCAATAAATAATTCAAAGTTTAGGCAGTTCCTGTACAGTTTGAAAAGGATGAGAGAAGATATTTGATGGAGCCCCTCCTGGGGATGGCTTGGGAGGAAATAAAACAGTGACCACCCATAGCAACTAAACATTAAAGAACTATGGGGGTAAGTGTTTTTCCCCATAGTTCTCCTAGGGGCACAAACAAGCGTCCTCCCGTCACCCTAGGCTCAGTATATAGGGAGCTACAGCTCGCGGTATACTGAGACGCCGCAGCCGGGACGGATCCCGACAATACTGTCTGGATCCACCCAGCTGCGTGAGTGACAGCGGGCTCTGCCTATCTAGAGGCAGAGCCAGCTGTACCTTCCCCTCCCCCTTCCATTCCTCCAGTCAGTGCTGGAGGATCGGAGCGGGGAGGGGGGAATCCCTGCGGGGAGCCGTGACTGACAGTCACGGCTCTCTGCAGGGACAGGATTGAGAAGTGAGCGAGCGACGGTATGTGTACGTTCACTTCCCGATCTATTGAGCCGACCTGTGACAGTTTCATTGTGACACGTCGGCTTGAACTATGAGAATGAGTGATTTTCACTCACCTCATACTTCTCCTTTAATTATGTTTGTAATTAAAAAAATCAACCATTCTGATCATTTGTCAGGGTGAAACGCATTTTCTTTATAAAAGTTGCAGCTACTCCTGTTAGAGTATGTACAGAGGTCTTCATGGGACCTGATCACCTGAATCTAGGCCCTCCGAAGTATGAGAGCACCATCCCATTCTCCCAACAAGACTGATGGGTCACACCATGGACTCCTTGGCCCAGAGAGACCATCTGGATGTCACACATTGACTATTTCCAAATCACTGTGTTCCTTAGTGGATTCCAAGATATAGATTTTACAATAAGTACAAACATATGTATTTTTTTTATTCTCCTGAATATATGTCTGCAGAGAAATCCAGAACAATTCACTTTACATTGACTTCAGCCTGGAAAGATGCCTCTGAGAATGAAAGGATGAGGAAACTCTTTTGGTCTTCAAAAAAGAAAAAGAAGTGTTTTCCAATAATTAAATATGACCTAGGACATAGTTTCTGACGTATTACAATGGTTGTGGATGAGTCCCCCTCAGGCTTATCTTGTGGGTGCTCCATCAGGGAGCCCCCCCAACACAGGTTCTCCTCACTTCTGCTACAATGCACCTTTTGCCACATTCTCTATAACGGGGTGGATAGAAGAAACTGATAAGAGGCTGAAGGGTTACACCACCCAACACTTCAATCTCAGTTTTGGGTGCGCTGCCCCTTTTTAAGGTATTTCAATAAATAATTCAAAGTTTAGGCAGTTCCTGTACAGTTTGAAAAGGATGAGAGAAGATATTTGATGGAGCCCCTCCTGGGGATGGCTTGGGAGGAAATAAAACAGTGACCACCCATAGCAACTAAACATTAAAGAACTATGGGGGTAAGTGTTTTTCCCCATAGTTCTCCTAGGGGCACAAACAAGCGTCCTCCCGTCACCCTAGGCTCAGTATATAGGGAGCTACAGCTCGCGGTATACTGAGACGCCGCAGCCGGGACGGATCCCGACAATACTGTCTGGATCCACCCAGCTGCGTGAGTGACAGCGGGCTCTGCCTATCTAGAGGCAGAGCCAGCTGTACCTTCCCCTCCCCCTTCCATTCCTCCAGTCAGTGCTGGAGGATCGGAGCGGGGAGGGGGGAATCCCTGCGGGGAGCCGTGACTGACAGTCACGGCTCTCTGCAGGGACAGGATTGAGAAGTGAGCGAGCGACGGTATGTGTACGTTCACTTCCCGATCTATTGAGCCGACCTGTGACAGTTTCATTGTGACACGTCGGCTTGAACTATGAGAATGAGTGATTTTCACTCACCTCATACTTCTCCTTTAATTATGTTTGTAATTAAAAAAATCAACCATTCTGATCATTTGTCAGGGTGAAACGCATTTTCTTTATAAAAGTGGCTTGAAAAGAGGCTGCAGGAGATTAGCAGTACTGAGATGTAACAAATCATGAATGAAAGGTGAAAAGTGTTTTACTAAAAATGTTTCTAATTGTTTCTAATACACAAGGCAGAGAGCAAGGTAAATGTCATTCATTTAGAGTTTACATCCACTTTATTGGACCGCAATACATCTGCTCCCGTTACCCACCTGGTCCAGGTAGCCCAGGTGATGCGGTCAATCACAGCTTGTTCCGTGAGGAGTTTTCCGGAAGGCACTTCATAGACCAGCCTCTTGTAACACCCGGTGGAGACCTGCACAGAGGCAAGGATGCAGCATCACACAATGTTCCACACGCTCCAAAATCTTCCCCAGAGTACAGGTTACAAAATCGGGAAGGAAGGGTGAGGGGGCATGGGTGGGGGTATGGGTAGTGGGGGGGTGTGTAAATATAATAATGGCCATGAATTTGAACTGGGAGGGCCTACAAGCTCATATAAGTGTGATAGGCCATGTATTGTATGCACATGTATTGAATATTCAGTGTTTCCCTTTAAAGTGTAATAATCAGACCCGGGTAGAAAACAATCTTTGGCCATGCTTGTCAATCTAGTCACATGATCCAACAAAGCGTCAGAAAAATACGGGTCACATGGTGGGGCCGGCCGATGACATCACTCATACCTGCACGTAGCGGCTGTCCGCAGAGAAGTCGATTTGCAGCACGAAGCTCGGAATGTCTTTGCAGTAGCTGATACGGTTCAATGAGGGTCCGATAGTGAGGTCATAGAAATCGACGGCATTCTCGCTGGAGCCCACCGCCAAGTAGTGGGAGTCGGGGCTAAATCTATACAGATCATGAGCAATGGTCAGCACCCGGGAGCATAATAATCCTTCATTCACAGATATAGTCTTTTAACGCTGCTTTGTTCATTGTGCTTTAAGAGCCGTCATTACTAGCTATGGCCTGTGTTTACATTCAGCCTGTCTGCAGTCTGCACTGATCAACAGTACGTTGCAGTGATCAGCTACCTCTTTGGTTCTATGTCTTTAGTGCCGGGAGCCATCAATGAAGAGTTTTATTCTGCACTGCACTCGTGTAACCACTAAAGAAACAGACCATAAACTGCTAGAAGAAGGTTGCACCTGCCCACGTTTTGCCTGAAGTTTCACATACGGTTAAATAAAAATCAGTTTGAATTTTACTTCTTCTCTAGCTAGGCTGCTGTGTGCTACACAGTGCATGTCCAGCAATCTCCATCAGGTCAGTTTGGTTCTGTACACCTAGGGGTATCATGCCGACACAGACACACATGTAGCACACTGACCGCGCCGAGTGACCAAGGTTCACCTTGTTTAGCATCTTCTGTAAGGAACAAAAAACACAAAGTTACATATACAGTTACATAGTATTTGAGGTTGAATAAAGACACGGGTCAATGAGGGTCCAATAGTGAGGTCAGAGAAATCGACGGCATTCTCGCTGGAGCCCACCGCCAAGTAGTGGGAGTCAGGGCTAAATCTATACAGATCATGAGCAACGGTCATAAACTGCTAGAAGATGGGTGCGCCTGCACACGAGTTTTATTCTGCACTGCACTCGTGTAACCGCTAAAGAAACAGACCATAAACTGCTAGAAGATGGGTGCGCCTGCACACGAGTTTTATTCTGCACTGCACTCATGTAACCGCTAAAGAAACAGACCATAAACTGCTAGAAGATGGGTGCGCCTGCACACGAGTTTTATTCTGCACTGCACTCATGTAACCGCTAAAGAAACAGACCATAAACTGCTAGAAGATGGGTGCGCCTGCACACGAGTTTTATTCTGCACTGCACTCATGTAACCGCTAAAGAAACAGACCATAAACTGCTAGAAGATGGGTGCGCCTGCACACGAGTTTTATTCTGCACTGCACTCATGTAACCGCTAAAGAAACAGACCATAAACTGCTAGAAGATGGGTGCGCCTGCACACGAGTTTTATTCTGCACTGCACTCATGTAACCGCTAAAGAAACAGACCATAAACTGCTAGAAGATGGGTGCGCCTGCACACGAGTTTTATTCTGCACTGCACTCATGTAACCGCTAAAGAAACAGACCATAAACTGCTAGAAGATGGGTGCGCCTGCACACGAGTTTTATTCTGCACTGCACTCATGTAACCGCTAAAGAAACAGACCATAAACTGCTAGAAGATGGGTGCGCCTGCACACGAGTTTTATTCTGCACTGCACTCGTGTAACCGCTAAAGAAACAGACCATAAACTGCTAGAAGAAGGTTGCACATGCACACATTAATGAAGAGTTTTATTCTGCACTGCACTCGTGTAACCGCTAAAGAAACAGACCATAAACTGCTAGAGGAAGGTTGCACCTGCACACGTTTTTCCTGAAGTTTCACATACGGTTAGATAAAAATCAGTTTGAATTTTACTTCTTCTCTAGCTAGGCTGCTGTGTGCTACACAGTGCATGTCCAGCAATCTCCATCAGGTCAGTTTGGTTCTGTATACCTAGGGGGTATCATGCCTACACAGACCCCCGCATGTCAGCCGGTGGCAGTTGTGTTCCTCACCTGATGTCCTGAATGGCGGATCTCCGATCTCTCTTCTTGCCCCAGATCTTTAGAGAGGCCACAACTAAGATAACAAACTCTCCATTCTTCATGCCGATGGCCACCATGTCGCCCTCAGGGCTGTAGCACACTGACCGTGCCGAGTGACCAAGGTTCACCTTGTTTAGCATCTTCTGTGAGGAACACAAAAGACATAGTTACACATGTAGTTACATAGTATTTGAGGTTGAATAAAGACACGGGTCCATCGTGTTCCATCTTTGTGAGTGTATGTGTGTGTGTGTGTGTGTGTGTGTACCAGTCACAGAGTACCCGTACCCCTGTATAATAATATGTTATCTGAAGAAAGCGTCCAAATGATTCTTCAATGACTCCATACTCTCTGCTGGAACCATTGCCAGGAGTGTATCTACCGCAAGGCAAACTAGGCATTTGCCTAGGGCGGCACTTTCCAGGGGGGCAGCATTTTGTGCAAAGAGCCAGACTTACCTTTGGGCATACTGGGCACTTGCCCGGTGGGGCACAGAATCAGGCAGCGGGTGGCTTTGGGCTGGCCATAGCATGTGATCTGATGGTAGGCCTCCCAGAAGCAGGCTGGGGACTGCAATGTATCCTGTTGGTACTGATGGCATTTCGGGCTGCAGGTAAGGGGAACAGCACAGGGAAAGGGAACCTGCACAGCCCACCATAAAGCCTGCACAGCTCTCCCGAGACCCTATAAAGCGCACCGGAAACCATGCACGGCTCTCCTCCCCCGTATGATCCCATGTATGCTTTATGCAGTGACTGACAGGTTGTGCAAAATGTCCTAAACAGGAAGGGGCGGGGCAAATTTGGATTGAGGGGGTGCCTGAGTCAAGTCTTGCTTGGGGCAGCACAAAACCAAAATACACCACTGACCATTGCTTGTAGAAGGGAGATACACAAGTCTACCACTCTAACAGAAAAGAATCCCCTTCACCCTTTGCGGTTAAACCCTTATTACCTTCAGCATCAGGTGGTGGCCTCTGTGCCGGGAATTCTGGGAAATGATCCAGGAACAGACAAGGGGTGTGTCTGGGTGGTGACTGTATCATTGTGTGTGTCAGGTTCCTATAAGGTGTCAGGATGTCTCTGTCTATCTCTCCATGGAGGAGTGGGAGTATCTAGAAGGACACCGGGATCTCTACAAGGACGTGGTGATGGAGAATGCCCCGCCCCTCACATCACCGGG